ATCGTCTTGCTGAACTTGAAGAATTTATTTCAGCACCAAATCATGCACAAATTCAAACAGTAAGATAATCAATTTCTTTTACGGTTTCGCTCAGTTGAAAAACGAAAATTGTGACGATGATTGAGTTGTAAATATTTCTACGTATGTCTAGATCATAAAAGTTCTTGTTTCGTAATTATTTTCGAGATAAAAAACTTGATATAAAATTAAAAGTCATAGTAATCGAAACAGTTCATACATTTGTTTTACAGTTTAACTTACTTCAACGTAAAGAGAGCGAAGTATTTATCGATTAATCATAATAATCAGTAATTGATTTACATGTTTTCTTTGTAAGTTAAAATTTGATATAGTAAATTATTCTAAAATTTCTCGAGTTTTTAATTGTCTACGAGTGATTTCGAGAAAATATTTTAGAGTTTTGTTTTTCTATACTTTTATTATTATTTAAATAAAAACTAAAATTTTCAATGGCTATTTTAGGTTGGTGATCGATGTTTCGAACAAGGAATGCATGAGGCTGCTAAAATTCTTTATAATAATATATCATATTATGCAAAATTAGCTGTTACCTTATGTCATTTGGGTAATTATCAAGGTGCAATTGAGTGCACGTAAAGCAAGGCTGTGGATGTGGGTCTCAATGGACAGTTATTCCTACTCACACTCACACCCTCTTGTGATGACAAATCTATGATTTCCTATTCAAGAAATAGAAAATTATAAAGATTAAGAGCAATAAGCGTAGGATAAACGAAGCATACTTTTTCAGTGACATGACATTCTGCTCTATGATCTTCAATTTGTTGACGAGTCCAATTTGTACCAACAAATTTTACGAGTTTAGTAATAGCTAAGCATGTGTTCATGTTATTATTGACTTCAGAAAAACTTTCATGATACGTAAACGAAATAGTATTTGATAAAGACTATACATCGTTGCAGTATTTATAAGGTCGATGTGAACAATTACATAATGGACCATCAATATCAGGAAAGTCAATTATTTGACCACAATTTGGATTATGATCGAATGTTTGGTTGTATCATATTTTAAATTTATTTTGAATATCAAAAAAATTAATAGTATGATGACCTTCATGAATATATGTACGAAAATCTCTATCACAAGCTATAGACGTAATAATATCACCCCATGTTTGTATGGTATTTGAGAAAAAGAAGATTACACAAAATAAGCTCTCTAATCTACTAGATAAAGCATTTGAATCAGGAAAAATTTTAATTTTAGTCAAGATTGATCGGGATTCTTGTATAAATTCAATATCGATGAAGAATGATTTCGAAGGCATAATACCGTGGAGAGCGACTGTGAAGAGTTTTGTTTGCCGAGCTTCAACAGTCAAATTATCTAAGATTTCAATAGGTGTTATTCGATCAATAAAAAAAATTCAAAGGATGTTAATGGTGTAAAATTTGATAAGATTGACACCTCTTTTATGTTGCTTCACTGTAATATTCTTCGTTGATGTATTCGATAAACTCTTGTTTGAAAATTGAATTGTACATTTAATCAATTTTAATTGATAATAATTAATCAGAATGACTATAATCCTTTCAAGTAATACAACTACAAGTGAAACAGAAATCATATATATCAATGGAGTTACAATTAAATCATTTTCCACTCTTTTCATAGTCGTATCTTGATCTAGAATTTTATTAAAATTTGAAAAATATAATATTGATATCGACGTATTCTCGCCTCATACTGAAAATTTTTCATTATCAACAGGATATTCTTATCTATGATAGCAGATAACATGTCTAGAACAACGATGCTGTTACCGCTGATATTAGGGCACTCTGGCATTAAACTAATATTCTATTGCGTCGTTCAGCCTAATGGCTGGCCTCCGATTGCGACTTTTTAAAAACAGGACTTTTCATAAATTATTTTTGTTAAAGCTTTTTGCTCGAGTATCGTTATAATGCAGCTATTTTAAACGGCACAATCGTAACAACGTTTCTTGTGTGCTCTTTTTCTATTAAATAAGTCATTAATTCGATGATCCTCATAAAATATATCGACAGCTTTCTTGTTTGAAGTTTTCTACTATTAATAGTTTCAATAGATGACTGGAAACATATATAAAATAAAAGTTTTTGTATCTCTAGCCGAAATAGAAAGTTCGTATTTTTCTAGTTTCAATATCAAAGAAATGCGCTAACAGCTTTTTTTCCTTATTCTTGTTCTTGATGTTGACATTTGCAATGTGCTTGAATATGTCACAATCAACATAATAGAAGCAGAGAGAAAAAAACAAAATATAAGTGGCGACAGATGCAGCCATAGAAAAAGTATTACCTACCTGATGAATATTTCAGGTTCTTTTCATTCGCCGAAACAATTTTATGTTGGAAAAAACACAGTCATTGCTGGTGCAAAAAAAACAAGAAAGCAATCGCTCACAAACATAAAAAACCTAACTCAAGCACTTTGACGTTACTGTAAAAGTAAATAGTAGCTATTTTAAATTTAGACTAACAGAAGGGAATTTGAAGAAAGCTTTGATAGAGAATAGGGGTGGTAGCTCTAACCTAATTTCACCTAATTAAGTTTTTTAACTTAACACTTAATATTTAATATTAAGTGTTAAGCCAAAAAAACTTCACTTAATTTTAAGTTAAGTTAAATGGACACTCCTTATAGAGAATGCGCATCATGTTAATAGATAGATGGGACAAAAGCTCTGCATTAACCTTGCTAATATCTTTTTAATTGTCTAATCAAAGCTCAAAAAGGTTTAGAAGAGAAAGCATTTAAAAAAGCTAGTTAGCGCAGCCCCTATGAGGCAAAAATATGGAACTCACATATGTTCTGTTAACTAATATTACTTCTTATCTTACTTTTTAATATAAGAAAAATGTTCAAATTTTCGAAAGCACATCCCATGTCGCACAGTTTTTGTCACTACCGCCGGTATACCGCGGTTCTCATAATAATAGGCGGTGCACCGGCAGTTTACCGGCGGTAGCGCTTGTAAGCTCCGGTTCCAGTTAAAAAGGCTTCCAGAAACCGTTTTTTGTCAGATCCCTATTTATTTCGGAAAG